TCAAGAGGCTGAACCCTCGACAATCTGCGGAATCTCCGTATTTGATGGTTTGGGTCATGAACCCTTTGACCCTTGTTGAAGGCAGGCTGTCCCAAGTGGATCATCGCAGCGGGCAGCAACCCTAGGCAACACAGCGGAGGCAAAACGGCTGCACAACGCCAAAAACGACTGCGAGGAATGACATGGCACACAGGGCATGCAGCGCGGCAACCGTGTAGTGAAGCACAAGACAACACCAACAAGGCAACAGCACTGCGGAGGACGACAGGGCGAGTGGACCAGCAGGGTAGCAACCGTGGAGCGGAGCACAAGGCAACAGCAACAAGGCAACCAACCTACAGGGCACACCAGCGGCAAGCACGGAAGGCACGGCCAGCGGATGAGCAGCGAAACGCAAGGCAACACCAACAACACGGCCACACCGCACAGCGAACGCCCTGCAAAGAACCACATGCGAAGCAAGCGGGACAGGCAGCAGGGCAGCGACGGAGCGCAGATGAGGACGTCCACACATCCAACAAGGAGCAAAGCAGCACAGGACCTACTCAGATCACGACAGAACCCCGCAGACTGTTGGTTCCCACCACCCACTGAGCCAGGGAGTCACTCCGATGAACATCCGTCATCACCCACAGGCAACACAGACATCCCGAACGGAGCAGCCCCATAAGAGTGCAGTAGGCACTCCAAACGAGGAACCACCGACTGTTTGACACTACTTAAGGGTGCTCAGTTGGGCGCACACAAAACCGTAGAAAAATCAAGGGGAGGACATACAACAGAAGAAAGACCGACAGACATAAAACTGATTGTGTGTGTGTGTGTGTGTGTGTGTGTGTGTGTGTGTGTGTGTGTGTGCACGCGCGTTTGTGCGTGCATTTGGGTGTGGGTGTGGATGTGTGTTCATCAATATCTTGGGGCGTCATGGACGTGCATGAGTTCGTGTGTGTGTTAGAGGTGTGGACTAGGTTGTGAATGTGCTTTTGACATTACAAAACAGGCTAAGTGAGTTATGAGCGCAAAGACAAACTTACACGGAACAAAAATTTATGATACTTGTACTGGTTGTGGACAATGTGTCAGAGCTTGTCCTGCAGATCTTTTAGAAATGTTTCCTTGGCAAGGATGCAAAGCTAAACGAATTGCTTCAGCTACTAGAACCAAAGATTGTGTTGTAGACAATGTGAATCTGTGTCCAACAGAATTTTTAAGTGTTTGAGTACATCTTGGCTATGTTGCACGCCCGGCCGCGGCCGGGGGGTCCAAGTCGGCCGCGGCCTAGGCCGATGGCCGAATAGGCCGGGTTCGGCCTAGGCCGACCAGCCGACTTCGGTGCAAGATTTTTTTTTTTTTTTCTAATGCATGAAAAAA